TTTTAGTTTTGTGCTGATAATGAAAATAACGAATGAGTAAGAGTTTTTTTTGTGTGAATGATGCAATTCTTTTAAATGACAAATGTTGGGTGTTCTCATTTTTTTAGCAATTTAAAATTTTTTTCTTTTTTTCTTTGTGATGATTATGAATCATTCTTCTCTCGGGAAAAATTTTCTTTAATTTAGCGGCAAATTTTTATGTCATTCCTTTGTAGTTGAAGTTTCTGCGATACTTTTTTAAATAGTTATTGCTTAACAGAAAACCTAATACTTATGTACTTATGCAATACTAATGTTGATATTTATGTAACACTAACATGCGACATTATATTTATGTAACGGTGACGTTTAGCGACGTAACGAAACAGTGATATATAAGTAGGAATATTAGAGATATAAAGGACAAATGCAGATTTCAATTGTTTAAAAATCCTTATTTTAATTAAATTAATCAATGTTTAAAAAATCATTTCAGCAAACAATTTCTTAATTAGAGATGAAATCAATTTTAATGCATTTTCCCCATGTAATCTTGTCAACAAAATATTTTAAATTATATTTATAAGCGACAATAATATTATTTTGAGAATATTTTTAATTATTTTAAATAAATTTGAAGTTATTAAGCACATGCAGTAAAGTTATTTTTTTTATTAAAAAACTCACAAATATAGTTTATCGTTTGAAAATAATTTAGAGATAAAATTATTATTATTATTGATGTTATTGTTATCATTATTATTGTCATCATCGGTATTATTATGCACACTGATAAGTGTTTATTTAGCTAACATTTTGCAGCTAACTGCCCTAAATATCACTATCACCATATTCATATTTGGTTTTCTATTGATGGTAGCAACCGTTGTTTTCAATTATGTTAGAATTCTTTCCAAATTACAATTTTTCATATCTTCGTTGTTGCATTATCATAATTTCTTTTGTATGTTATCATCATATCATGCATTTGCATGCTATACACGGAGCATTTTAATAATACAATTATTGTATCAAAAAGTTTTATCAAATATAAAAATCATTTGTCTTTATTCTTTTTCAACTAATTTTTCTGAGTTAATTTAGCAGTCAATTTGTGGATTTTATTTTTGCTTCATTTAAATTGATCATTCAGAATTTTACACTTTTTTTTTTTACTTATTTGAGATGACATATCGATGGAGGAACGTTAATGAACACGATGAATTGATGCAATTACTGTGTTGTAAGCAAAAACGGAGGAATTAGGGTTAGTCCAATAAATTGGAAGAAATACTTCGCCTGTGATTGGCAATTCATTGATGCTGATTAAAAAATTAATGTAAGTTTTTGAAAAATTTGTAATTCTTACGAATGATTTAAATTTCATGTTATTAAAATCGAATTAAATTGTAAATTTATAATTTATCCATTATGATATAACCAAATCATATTTTGAGAGCAAAAGACGGTATTGCAAACATTGAAGTTCGATGAAAAAAGCTAAACATATAATCAGTATTCAAGGAATCATAATTCACGAATAAGTTATATTTTATTATGATTTATTATTCCTTGACAAATTATGATTAATCATGATTCATCATTATTCTTGAGCAAAATTTCAATTTATCACAATTTAACACTGTTTTCGGATATATAAACGATTTATAATGATCTATGAATTTCAAAAGTTTGATTCATCTCGAATTCATCAATAGCAAAGTTAGCTGAATATAATATGTGCTACATGTTTATGGCAGAACTGCAAAATTAATATATTTTCGTTTCAGAATTTATAAAACTCAATTTTAAAAATTTACAAAGCATCGGATGAAATTTGTTTTTTTTTTTTTGCTCTTTTTTAATCAAATGAAATTATTCATTGAATAAATAATATTTGCTTTAATAAATTTTATATGCAATATTGTCAAGTAATAATTTTGCGGTAGATTCAGTGCCAAATATCTTTACTCTGGTAAGATACGTAAAAAATGACTTACATGCATAAATGTAACGTTTAGTAAAATTTTAATAGCTATTAATGTATGATAAGGCATAACTTTACTATTGTTACTGCGTGTGAAAGTATAATGGTGAAAATATGGTGAATCAATAAACATGTTAGAATAAAACGATACGTTTAGTAAAATAATAATGAAAAGTTATGATTTAATTCTTATCAGTTTATATATTGTAATATCAGGAAAAAGGAAAGTTTGGATTTGTAAAACATTCTTCGAGAAATCATCAAAGAATTGAACGAAACATCTGACCTATTTACTCTACAAACGAAGAATAATAGGTGAAATGTTCGAAATTAGTTCCTTAGTTCATCCGAATATTTCGCGTTATTTTTTCATTTTACCTGTTTCCTTATCATTACCTGAATGATTACTATGAAAAATCCAATTCTGATCATTTAAAACAAAGTATTCTGATACCAATCTATCGTATTCTATTTGAAATGCTAATACTTTAATGTTAATAATGTAAAGTATTATCGGTTTATTTTATTACCATATAAACCTCAATAATGAACTTTCATCTCCGTATTTTTTCCTCTACAAATCATTTTTTCAATTATTCGTAATCATTGATTTCAAATATTTACCACAGTATTTAATCATAGTATAACTTAAAGATTTAATTTCTTATATTCTTATATTTGACATATCTTAATAAAACGACGAATATCTTTACATTTGATCATAATATAATTTAATTAACCAATCAATACTGCTATCTTCATAATACATCTTAATAAACATGATATTTAGCAATTTTAAATGCAGCTATTATTGTCACTAATCTTTGCGAAACTTTCTTTCTGCCAGAAAATTAAGGTTAAAATTAAAAGTACCGGTAACATAAAGGTATTAAATTCATCGAAATATTTCACTAAGATTATCTTGTAACAAGATATTATAATCTCAAATTGTCAATTACATGATTTATACAAATGTTTATGATAATAAACTATTTATAAACAGATGACTAAATGAGTGAGTAATAATTCCCATATGACTTAATTGTTATGCTTATAAAATTGTAACCTTACACTTGACACATATGATAAATTGCCATAAATTTCAATACTATCAGTTAGTGTATTTCATCATATTTTAAACAAATATTAAAGATATTGTTTACTCTAATCTTCGATGCTTAACTGGCTATAAAAGCCCATCCCTCAGTTGAATCAATTCAGTTTAACATGAGCATCTCGCTTACTACATCTATCATCTCAACGAAGAAAAATACTTGTTTTTCCCTTTCAACAACAACTGCAAACAGCTTCCAATCTTCAACATCCTATCGTTACAAGTAAAAGAAGAAGCGATAAATTCAACCGTTAACAAACAAGAAGAAAACAATTCCCCTAAATTGACATCAAATTGTCACAAAAGATTTCCTCAAATTTTTGTGCAAAAGACAATTCTTACAATCCAAATCAATTTAAAGTTTCACCAATCATAACACTTTCTCTTATCTTCTGATTTTTTATTTATTCATACGTTTTTTTTTTCTTCACTCTCAAATACTAATATAAAATAAATGATAAATTGTGAATTAAAAAAGAATGAAAATATCATTTAACTTTGTTCATAAATTGAAAAAGTTAACTTAATACTTTCAAATTTTATGCTGTAAAGAACATTTATTTCATTTTTTTTCCCCCTTTTTTGTAGGACAATAGGAAAGAAGATTGTGAAAGATTTATTTGAAATCGTTGCAACGAATCGTTCCTTTTCATTCCTTTTAAATTAATTGGTAACAAATGTTTTGTTATTTTGTTAGCGAAAAAAAAAAAACGAAAAAGATGAAAAGAAATAAGTTAAAAATTTAGCAAAGAAAAAAGCTAACAAGCAATACATACTTTAATTTGCACTTTTTTTTCTAAAAAGAAAATAAGAAAAAAAAATAGGTCTAATTTTCCTCTCAAAATCATCATTATCAATTAAGACCGAGCCTTTTTTACATTTTCTTAGTTTTCTCACTTTTCCGTTTGTGCTCTCTTCCTCTTCAATTTCTTCATCATCAATTAATTGCAATGAATAATTCCTTGCTGTTAAAAGTGATTTTTAAGTAGAACAGAGAGATTGGCTTATTTTCAACTAACCTGTATAACTTATAACTTATCTATTTAAATATAACTTGTCTATTGAAGTATAACACATTTATTTAAATAAAACCTGTCCATTTAAGTATAATTTATCGATTTAATCATTATTGAATCATTTATTGTTACTATAATTGTTTTTACCACTGTGTATATAATAATTTCTTGATGGATAAGACGTAAAACGTTTTACATTACGTCGTTACTATTATTGTGTTTCATAAATATACGAATATTTTCACGTCATATTTTCGATCGATTATCATTATTTGGGAAATTTTACAGATGAAAGTTGTATTGTTCTCATTTCTGACCATATTTGGTATTATTAACGGACTACGGCTTCAAGCAATACGAGCTAAAGGTCAATTAAAATGTGGTATCAAACCAGCACAAAGCGTAAAAGTTAAGCTATGGGATGAAGATGATGGTTAGAGTGTTAATTTATATATTTAACTTTAAACAAAAAGATTGAATAGCGATAAATTATCATTATTTCGAATTCCAGTTAATTATAGTTATCGATATCCTAGATTTGGTTAAAGTAAAACGTAAATAATGGAAAAGTTTAGGACCGGATCCGGATGATGTATTGGATGAAAATGAAACAGACAGAGATGGGAGTTTTGATCTCGAGGGCAGTACTCGAGAACTGACATCTATTGACCCTGTACTTAAAATTTATCATGATTGTGATGATGGAATTAAAGTAAGTAATTTCTGCAATGTATGCTTGACATGTTAAAAAAAATTTATACTTTCTACACATAAAAAAGAGATAAACAAAATTAATTTTCATTTTTTTCCTAATATATGCCAGCTAATATTTAGAGATAGCAAAATTAATTAAATTTTGTTTCGTTTCTTTTTCAACAGTTCGACATTTGAATTTGATTTAAAAGTAATTGTTGCAATAGGTTTTTAAATTTTAATTTTAGCCTGGTAAAAGAAAGGTTAAGCTACGTATACCAAAAAAATATATTACTGATGGATCTACTGCAAAGAAAACTTTCGATGTTGGCATATTAAATTTGGAGACAATATTTCCAGGAGAGGAACGTGACTTATTCTAAAAGTAAATGTGAAAGATGATGTCATCTTTATCACGTGCCATCTTTATGTGATGTCATCTTTATCGTTTACTTAATGTTGAAGATATGATGATAAATTGGAACAGTTCTGATTAATGCAAAAAAAAATGATAATCGTAATAAACTGTATATTCTTTTAATATAATAAATTTTTTGTAGTTTTGCGTGTATTTTTATAATATGTTAATATTTAATGGTCTTATGCGCCATACATAATCCTTCCACTTTATTTACGAATAGTTTAAAACATTTATCATTCATAAGTAAAAAAATATTTACTTATGAATATTTTAATTTTTCTTCAACATTTCTCAAATAATACGATTAAAATTTTCAAAGCATAATTTAATTTTTCAAATAGCTCTTTGCATTTTATAATTAAAGGCATGTTAAATTAGCTTATATTGATTGTTTTATTTTAAATCTACTATTTTAGTATTCACATGTGTTAATAGAATTTTTTTGGTTTATATTTATCAAGTAAGAAATGCCTCATTTATCTTTAATGTAAACAAAATTTTAGCGATAAAATAATGCCCAAATAGTCAAAATTAGAAATTATTTTTGAAAATCATTAATGTCATCAAATTGCCAAATTTTCAACTTTTTCAGTACCAAATATTAAAAGGATATATAGACAAGCTAATCTTCTGTAAACAACTGTTTTGCTTTAGCTTCAATTCTTGTTTGCATGTTAAGCTTAAATTTGATCACCATTATTATCTTGAATTATTAATGATTATGCTAACGAATTAAATTGATCATATTAAATGCCAAAATTATCAAAATTTGAATACTATCATTTTCTGTTTATTCAAAACTGACTCGATAATTTATTGAGCAAATTTAGCACGTCTATTTATTTTAATTCTAGTCTTTTTAATACTAATATATGAACTTCTCTCATTGTTTATTTCTCTTAATACTGCTATTTATTTACATCATCAGCTGATAAAACATGAACAAAATTCGTTTTAATTTGTTAAAATATAATTACTTCTTTTACTAATAATTTAACGAACGGTTAACAATGAATGAATTTAAAAGTAACAATTTCAGATAATGACATATTTTATTTAAAAAAATTAGAAATTATAAATAATTCGATTAATCCAGATAATTATCAAACATTTCACTTTTAATAAATATCAATTGATAGTAGTCAATAAATAACTTTTATACTTTCAAGCTTTCTAATCTATTATTTAATATTTTAAGGTGCTTTTTTTTTGCTTTTGATTGTGATAATGGAAATGAGAAAATTGTTTCAGGAAAGATACATTCAAAAAAATGCTACAAAATTTTTCAGTTATTTCTGATAAATTTGTTTTTTTTAGATTTCATCGGATTTAATACTTTAAAATGCATTTTTTATTTCTGTTCGTAATACTCGGTGTTGCGACATTTTCAACAGCTCTAAGACAACAGGCCGTTGCAGTCAAAGGTAAACTGCTCTGTGGTAATGCAGCGGCACGAAACGTTCGC